GATGTTTGGGGATTACACCAGTGGTGAAATTCATTTTTTTTACTACTGGTTCTGTGGGTGTGGCTTGGTGGGCGTGGCTTGGTGGGTGTAACTGGGGAAGGATACTGCAAAATCTCCATTCCCTTCCCACTCCAGGGAAAGGATACTGCAAAATCCCCATTCCCTCCCCACTCCTGAGGAAGGATACTGCAAAATCTCCATTCCCTCCCCACTCTGGGGCCAGCCAGAGGTAATATTTGCCGGTTCTCCGAACTACTCAAAATTTCCGCTACCGGTTCTCCAGAACCTCTCAGAACAGGCTGAATTTCACCCCCGCCTGAAAGGCTATTTTACTAACACATTTCTGTGGCACAACTTAGCACAGGGGTCACCAAACATGGCCACTTTGAGATTTGTGACTTCAACTCCCAGAATTCCTCAGCCAGCCATTCTTCAGCCAGCTGGACTATCCAATGTCTTAGGTCAGAGGTCTCCAAGCATGGTCACTTTAGGACTTGTGGACTTCAACTCCCAGAATTCCTCAGACAGCCGGACTATCCAGTGTCCTAGGTCATGGCTGGCTGAGGAATTCTGGGAGTTGAAGTCTACAAGTCTTAAAGCGCCCCGTGTTTGGAGACCACTGACCTGGGACATGGAATAATCTTCTTCCTTATTTTGGGAAGATGGAAGAGAACCAGAGTTCTCCCTTCTCAAGCTAATTGTAACTTGTGAGCCCGTTTTGGCCGTGCCTCGCTCTCATTCTCCTGTGTTCTTCTCTCTGTCTTCTTCGATTTGTGCCCCATTCCTCTGTCTCTCCATCCCTGGCTAGGTAGAGTATGACGGGCTGACGGGACACGTGGAATTCAACAGCAAGGGTCAAAGAACCAATTACACCCTGAGAATTCTGGAAAAAGGACGGCACGGACACCGGGAGGTAAGAGGACTAGTGTCATTCCTGCAATCATATTCCTTTTAGGATCTTTGGCCTGCCACACTCTCTATTATTTTACTATGCTGTTTCATTAGTGGGGTAATTGGGAAGTGGGGAATAGTAAGGAGCAGAATGTGTTGTCAAAATAAAACATTCCTTTCTAGAAGCCCAAGGTCTCTGCACCTGACCGGAACTAGGTGGGTGGAAATGCCAGCGTGGCAGAGAAAGATTGGACCATGTGATGGTCTTGTGGGTGTGGGGGCCAGGTTTTGAACTTTCAACTGGGTGGAAACCCCAGGAAGCTTTCAGATTCGGGTTTCCACAATGTGTACCAACATGTCTCTCTTATTAAATTGGAATTTTGATGAAAGCTATGCCTTGGACTCTGATNTTGACTCCCTCTTCTTTGTGGCAGCCCCTCAAATATTGGAACACTACTATTGTGTCTCCCCTAGTCCTTCTTTTCATTAAACTCAACATACCCAATTCTTGAAGACGTTCTTCCTATGTTTCAGCCTCCAGTCCCCTAATCATCTTTGTTGCTCTTCCATGCACTTTTGTCTAGAGTCTCAACATCTTTTTTTACATAGTCCCTTGACATAGCGAAGACTTCCTCCAAATAGTTTGGAGAAGTTCTTCCCTTCCAAGAAAAGAGTTGAAACGGCTGCTTGAAATGGTCAAACTCTTCCGTCTCGTCTCAGGCTGAAAATGGGATGGTGGTTGTGATGGGTAAACAATAATTAATGTCTGGCATGCTCTTCCCTACAATGGACTGATGACAAGCATGCTTCAGTTGAGAAGAGGGAATAAAAATAAAAGAATTAGGCAAATTAGTGAAGAGCCGTGATTGCGTCTGTGATTTTCATGCACAAAAGAGATATCTGTCCTTCTGCATATGAGTGGGTACACAGAAACAAAGGCGCAGATTGTTGGGTTGTTATGATGTGCTGTTGTTGAACCTCTGGAGGGAGGTGGCTGGTTCCTCTTACCATTCAGGGACCAGGCGCTCTTGAGCTAATTTCAGAAGTGCTCTTAAGTGGTCAGGACAGATTTTTTGGGGAAAAACCATGGCTCCATTCTCTAGTAGGATGATGAATGGGAAGGGAAAGAGAGAAATAGAGGAAGAGGGAAGGGATGGGAAAAAGGAATAGCAACTCCATCCTCTCAGGACCATTAGACCAATAGGTCAGCGAGTCAGTTTGGCCTAGTGATTAAGGTGCTGACCTATAAACCAGGAGACAGTGAGTTCTAGTCCTGCCTTAGACATGAACGAGGGCTGGGAGTTTTGGGGCCAATCATCAGGAGACTCCTGAGTTCTAATCCCACCTTAGACATGAAAACTGGCTGGGGAACTTTGGGCCAATCATCAGGAGCCTCCTGAGTTCTAGTCCCGCCTTAGACATGAAAGCCAACTGGGTGACTTTGGGCCAATCATCAGGAGACTCCTGAGTTCTAGTCCCGCCTTAGACATGAAAGCCATCGGGGTGACTTTGGGCCGCCTCANAGTAAAAGTACACTTGATTTCTATCAATGGAGTCTTGTGGTCTTCTTTCCTGATTATCGAATGAAGGAGTGCTGACAAGTACCTTTTTTGTGGGGTCATTTATATGTCTTCCTATAACTGGACATTCGTTTGGCTCTCCATTGGGAATTGATGTTAAAGTTGTTGGGCAGATCTTGTGCAAGTGCCAGTGGGGACTTGAGCCGTCCTATTTTTTTTTCTGTATTCTCTTGTCAAGGTGAGATGTATTTTCATATGCTTTGTTTGTCTGAAAGCAGAATTGAATGGCATTTATGGGCAAAGATCTCATTTTCCATAGTGAAAAACCTGTGATTAAAAAAGTCAGAGGTGGTGGAATACTGGTATAAATACTTCACTATGAAGCAGATATGGGAATTGATAGGATACCTTTGCTTGGACAGGTCTGGTAGAGTAAACCGTGTGTTGCTTTGTAAATGGATCTCATCTGGGGTGAAATGAGTAGACAGTGAGTACCCAGGATTCTCTAGGTATCAGTGCCACCATTTGTAATCTGGATGTTTGCCGTATCCACTTATTCCAAATAACCCACACGTTCAGTGTAGTCAAATTGTTCTGGAATATTTCTTTGATTTTTCACCAATTTGTTATGAACATTGTCGATTTGTTAATTTTTATATGACCTGTACATGTACGTATCTTACTAGAGTTCCAACTTCCATCCAATGCTAGTTTGGGTTTTAAGTGATAACCCATAAAAACAATCATAGAAAAGTTGGATAAACGCATGAGTGACTCTTTAAAAAATCAGCTTTTTATTTTAGGTTTTATATAACTGGACATTTTTGCAAGGCTGTACAGTTCCATTTTCATTGACAAATCAAAGTACATGACAGGGCTAGTTGTGAAAAATCTGCTTTAATGTATTTCTGTAGCCCTAATGTTCTCTGCAGCTGTGCAGAGACCCTTTTATGGATTATGAATACTGCAATTTGTTAGCATACACTACACTTCCTTTTCATAACATTTTCAAAGCTGTGTTACAATTTGTACCCTTGGCAAAGCTACAGTATCTATTCAGCTTTATATAAATTTTGTTTCCTGTAAGCTTGTAGGTATTAATCTATATTGAAACAACATTAGCTTGTATGTTTTCTGGAAGGAAATAACTTTCTTTGGCTTCAAAGCAATAGAACTTTAAAAAAAGTATACACTGTTCTCCAGTACTCAGATAAATTCATTTTAATTATATTTTAAGTCTACTAAATGAAATTAAAATGTATATATTTCAAAACATTTGGGAGCATGAAATAATTGGATTGTAATCTTTTTGGAGCATATTAGATAACTTATTGTTTAAGTTAGATGTATTTCCTAAATGTATTTTTTATCTTTCAAAACATCTGCCCCAGATACAGGACCTTCCATTTCAGTTATCTGGTTTGTGTGTTGCCAAAACTCAGTTATGGTTTGTAACAAAAATTAATAGCTTTGCATGCTATTAGAAGTGTCAGCAAGGCATCTTAGGATGGCAAAATACATAATTTGTTCATGTCCTGAAGTCTAATAATTTTCCTTTCCATTTATCATTCCCCACTGGACACTATTCTAGAAAGACAAAAATGAAAGGATAAATTTGTCCAACATTGTTTGCTGTCACTTTTAGCAATGTGCTGATTCTGGACAATCTCATACTGTATGAACTCAACCTGATGCTTGGTAGATATAATGTAATAGCTCACAATATGTGGATATGGCAAAGGCAGAAAAATATCCCATGGCTCTTGAAAGCTCTTCAGAATGAGATGTTTTCAATCATATCCCCCTATATACTGTCCTTTTCTTGAGTAAGAAATTTTGCTGCTGCTGGCAGTAGCAAAGCTGGGTGTAAATACTTGGCATAATTTTGCAGTTCATCTGTGCCATTCAGGTTTGGACATTTCATTTTCATGACAAGCTTTAACTGGATTTTAAAAACTTGTTACCACTTTATTTGTTAATGTAAATTTATAAGGCCACCCAACTGTAACAACTCTAGGTGAAAACAATCCTAAAAAAATACAGATTAAAATCCCAAATGTCTGAAGCCCCCTGCATCAGTTTGAGAACCAGATAGCACACAAGACCACCACTCCTTTTAACTCAAGCTCTTGGGGGAAAGCCTGCCTCCAGTCATTTTTTGTTAGTCTAATAAGTGTTTTATCTTCTTGTAAAGCAAAATAAGCAGCCAGGCTACGGATGAATGTTCCCAAGAACAGTTCTTCATATTGGCAAGGCTCCACTTCATCCTCCCGCTGCCAAAATCTTGCAAAGATCCCTTGGGACTACTTAAAGCTATTGCTTTCTTCTGGCGGCAGAAGAATGGGGCTAATGAACCATGTTCAAAGACACTTCTTATTCAAGTGCACATTTTGTTGGCATTATCTCAGGCTTGCTTCCTCTAAGTAATTCCAAAGTGAAGTTCAAGTGGCCAAGAATTGGTGGTGGGTTGCAGGCAGTACGCCCTGGTATGGGCATACTGGAGCCTGGCCGGAACATGGGGTACAGTTCCGGTAGGGTGCTCCAGAGAGCCCACCTGCCTGGCTGTGCTCCTTACCTGTCTTTAAAGTCTTCTGTGCTTCCGCGCATGCGCACAGCACATACAGCGCCTGTGCAATGCTCTGCTGAGCAGCTGGAGCATTGCTGAGGCTCGCGGAGGCATCGCTGGACAGTATGAACCATGCGCACACTGCGCGCATCCATGTGGATGATGCCAGGCCCGTTCCAACCGTACCGGTTGGAAGAGGATCTCGAACCCACCACTGCCAAGAATCGCCTTGAAGGTTCTGCATGATAAAAAGAAGAGATCATCTTTCCTTTTTGGAAACGAGTGGCTTTTTCATGTCTTAATCTGGAGAACAGAAACTTACAATAAGGTCTCCAGAAGCCAATTTTGGGCACCTCACAGTATTGTTGTTGTTGTTGTTGTGGGGGAATTGGGTTGAAGAAGTATTATATATCTTCACTGGCTTGAATGATTTACAAAAATAATAATAAAGGTGGAATTAAAAAAAATGTAATCAGTCAGTCAGTCAGTCATGTTTCACTATTGATTCGACAGATGGTCCCCTATTATTTGATGAAGCTTTTCTGAAAGTACTTTTATTTTTTGCTTCATAATGAAATCACAATGCAATGTACTATTGTGTTAAATTGGGAAAAAAATGATGTAAATTATACCAGCAACAAAACTGGCAGGTCCTTTAAAAGTAAGGAATTTAAACACTTTAAGCATGAGTCACAAATGATGCCTGAGAATGATTTCCACAATTAGGATGGTTTCATTTTCCATGTACCTCTTATCTTACAGAGGTCTCAGAGGTGAAAAAGGTTCTGGGCCAGTGGTGGGATTCAATTTTTTTTACTACCAGTTCTATGGGCATGGCTTGGTGGGCTTGGCAGGGGAAGAATATATAAAATCTCAACTTCCTCCAGATCAGCTGGGACTTGGGAGGCAGAGAATAGATGGAGATGGGGCCAGTCAGAGGTGGTATTGACAGGATCTCCAAACTACCTATTTTTCAGAGTATAAGTAGAAGGTGACAAGACGTCCCGATTTCAGCGGGACAGTCACAATTTCTAACAATTTGTCCCGCGTCGTTTTAAAAAAGGCCCGATTTTGGCTTCATGTTGAAAGCGCAGTGGATTTGCTTAAGAAATCCTAACCGGGGCAAGACAAAAGACACTCTGTCTTTCCCCTCTCTATGTTTTAGTCCTTGCATTGA